AAAAAAAAAAAAGAGAAAGAAAAGAAAAAGTAATTAAACTACAAAAGTTTGAAAGTTCAGCTGGCATAAGGGGTGGGCATGAGAAGGTGATGTAAAAAGAACATGATCAAAGAGGGGTCCAGCTCACCAGAAATGAATGGGAAGCACTGATTCTGTTCATATGTGACCGGTTAGGAGTTTGTGCTGAGCCAGATTTCCCTGCAGGTCACTCAGCTCTACGTGCCAGCATCCAGACATGTGTGGAGGTTCCGGCGCATGGGGAGGATAGGCCCGCTGCAGTCAACTCTGGATGGTGAGTTTTCTAGACACAGGTGTATTGAGGAATGATCTGCACACTGTAGAATTTACTCTTTTCAGTGTATAGTTGTATGATTATTTTAAGTAATATCCAGTTGTATAAACACACACACACACACACACCCAGGACCAACCATGTAGAATAGTTCTGTCACCCTCAAAATTACCTTGAGCTCCGTGGTGGCCAGCCCTTCCCTCGCTCCAGCTCCTGACAGCACTGATTTGTGTGGGTACCTTCCCTTTCCTTTTTGCAGACTGTCTTTAAGTAACCTCATGTGGTACATGGCTTTACGTGACTGGCTTTTTTCACTCTGCCTGATGCATTTGAGATCTGTGGGCCGCACAACGAGGGGCTGGCTCCCTCTTCCTGCTCGGCACTGCTCTGTCGTATGGATAGTGCCACAGCTTGTCAGTCCGTTCACCTGAAGGACGTCTGGTTATGTTCTCAGTCTCTGATGGTTATTAGCAGCGTCTATAAACATCCATGGACAGGTTTTTGTGTGTGAATATACCTTTTGTTTCATGTGGATAAATGTGTGGGAGTAAGAATCCTGAGTCATTTGGCAAGCGTGTGTTATAGGGAACTACACAAATGTTTTCCAGAGTGGCCGTCCTATTTTGCGTTCATGCCCACAGTGAACGAGAGTTCCATATCCTAGCAAATAGTTGGAATTGTCATTTTCTTTTCCTTTTTTTTTTGAGACAGAGTCTCAAGCTGTCACCCTAGGTAGAGTGCCATTGTTCACAGCAACCTCAAACTCTTGGGTTTAAGTGTTAAGTGTTTCTCTTGCCTCCGCCTCCCAAGTAGCTGGGACTATAGGCACCCGCCACAACACCCAACTAGTTTTTGGTTGTAGTTGTCATTGTCATTTGGCAGGCCCAGGCTGGATTCAAACCTGCCAGCCCATATATGTGGCTGGCGCCCTAGCTGCTGAGCTACAGACGCTGAGTCAGAATTGTCATTTTTTTTTTAAGTTATTTTAGCCTTTGTATTTTTTT